CGAGGGGCAGGCAAGGCTCTGGGGACTGAAGCTCTGACCTGGCTGCAGTTTTCTCTCTCTCTCTGCTTTGTGCTTTGACTTCCCGTTCCTCAGGCCACCTCTGCCACCCGCTGTCATGCTGTCCCTGCCGCCATGGGACCCTCTGGAACCCGAAAGCCAAAGTAAACCATAAAAATGGTGTTTTATCCCAGCAACAGAAAAGCCACTGATACGCGTGGGTAGAATTCTGCATCCTTTCTTCTCAGGGGCAATGGTGTGTTTTCTGTTCATTGACAGACCTGGCTATGAAGCTGCCCTAGTATTTTCTGAGTAAATTCTAGAAAGGCTGAAAAAAAAATACTTAGCCTAAGCAATAAGGATGTTATGTGGACATTTAATATTAGATAATTATGAGTTTCATAACCAGTTAATAAATACAACTCTGACAAGAGCTTTATTGGTTATGGAATCATCATTCTCACTTAATTGTTTTTTTATTACATCTACTTAAGGAAAAAATATCTGTTTTTCTTAAACTCAGACTAAAAATTCACTTAATTATGAAAAAGTAAGAATATAGCTCGGCAGTGGTGATACACACCTTTAATCTCAGCGCTCAAGAGGCAAAGGCAGGCAGATCCCTGAGAGTTTGAGGCCAGCCTGCTCTATAGAGCGAGGTCCAGGACAGCTGTGAGAGAGAGAGACAGAGACAGAGAGACAGAGAGAGACAGAGAGGGAGAAGGAGGGAGGGAGGGATATTTTCTTTACCTCCTGGTTGCATAGATAATTGTATTTCCTTACAGTCCATGTCTGTTCTTAATCTGATATATCATGCAGCCATGTCCCAGCAGGTAAAGTCCGTTGCCACCAAGCCTCATGTCTGAATTTGGTCCCCAGGACTCTCATGATGGGAAAAGAGAATTGCTACAACATGCATGTATCCACCCACCCACAATTAAACAAATGTTCAGAGAAAAACAGTAGGATTGGGGATGGAGAGAGGGCTCAATGATTAACAGTTCTTACGGTCCTTACAGAGGCCCCAGGTTCAGGTGACCCATAACCACCTGTAACTTCAGTTCCCAGGGGTCCACGGACTGCCGAGGACACTGCATGCAGTGAGGCAAACAGACGAGCAGGCACGCACATAATAATTAGTAAAATTAAAACGTACAGTGCAACCTTGAAGTCCTCAAGCTGCAAGTTAAATAATTCAACAAAATTACATGTGCAAGACTCCAGGTTCCTCCCCAGCCCCGTGAGAGAGAAAAGGCATACTGTCCCTGCCATCATGGGACTCTCTGGAACCCAAAATCATAAAACATGAGCCTTTCTTAGCTAGAGAATGTATTGTCTATAGCAGAGCCCTTGAAACCCCCTCAAAAAAAGTTTCTATTTCACAAGTAGGTTTTAAATTTGAGATGGCTTGGCAGGAAGTCCCCTGCTGCCAAGCCTGCCCACCTGAGTTCCATTCCCAGGACCCACATGTTGTAAGGAGAGAAGCAAACCAACAACTGTCCTCTGACCTCCATACACAAGGTATAATACGCACATGGCCACATACTAGTAAATATTTAATTTACAATTTGAAATACACACTGTGAGCAAGTAGATGTGTTTGTTGCAATCCAAGATCAACCATTAAAGGTAAACAAATTCTGAAGCGCAGAGATAGAATGAATGAAATGGCACATACACACAAACACGCACGCACGCATACTGACAGCCCAAATGGAATCAGACAGCAAGTAAGGGAAATAAAATCAGTCACAGAAGAATACAATGGTGACGGAAATCCAGCCACCTCAGTAGTTATAGGATGCCAATAGTCTGCTTTTACAGCTGTTGCTGTGGTAAAATCCTCTGAGGAAAAGCAGCCTAGAAGGGAAAGAGTTTATCTCAGCTTACAGTTCCAGGTTCCAGTCCATCGCTGTGGAAAAGTCACAGCGGGAACTGGAAGCAGCTGGTTGCGTCACACCCAGAGTCAAGAGCAGAAGAAATTTATGCATGCATGTCTGCTTGCTTGCTTGCTGGCCTCTGCTGAGCTTAGTTTCTCTGCTGTTCTCCAGTTCGGAGCTCCATGCCTAGGGAAGAGTGCCTCCTACAGTGGACGAGGTTTTACCACATCATTCAGTTGAGTTACCCCACAGTTGGGTTGGAGAGGTGGCTCAGAGATTAAGAGAACTGGCTGTTCTTCCAGAGGTCCTGAGTCCAGTTCCCAGCTATCCTGTGGTGGCTCACAACCATCTGTAATGAGATCTGGTGCCCTCTTCTGGCTTGTAGGCATGTTTGCATATAGAGCACTCATACCTAATAAAAATACATAAATATTAAGAGAAAAAAATGCCCACAGGCTAAGGTAGATGATCCATTATTGAGATTCAGTTTCCAGGTGATTCTGGGTTGTTTGAAGTTTGTCATTAGCCAACCAGCATACTAATCAGCCAAATACATTGTTTAAAAAGATTACAGATCGGGACTAGTCATGGTGGCACACCCCTGCCCCCTCACTGGGAGATTCTAGCCAGGTCCTCTATCACTGAGCCACGCCCCCAGCCCCTCACTGGGGTCAGAAGACAGTGACTATTCTTTGATGCAGAGTAGAATTCAATTCTCAGCAGTCCTGGGCACATAGAGAATTTTTATTCCTTACAGTAGATGTCCACGTCTGGGATGTCCATGTCGGGGGCACAGAATCCCAGCAGCCCTTAACACTGAGTGCCAGCACTCTAACAACTCTTTGCAGATGACAGAATCGAAATGTAGAAGTTTAATGAACTAAAGAGCACACTACACCTTTTAAAAATGGCTAATATTTATTTAAATTTACATGTATACAGAAGCATGTGTCAGAAGACAGCTTGTGGGAGCCAGCTGTCTCCTTGTGGGTCCTGAGGATTAAACTCAGGTCATCAGGCTTGGCAGGAAGCACCCTTACCTGCTGAGCCATTACAGCCCATTCCCAGTTTCTGAACATAAAGCATTTTGTCCCTTGATGCTACTTGGAGCCAGTACATTTCATTACCCTCTGTCAGCACACATTTCTCAGGATGGGTGTGAACACACTAGAAGCTGTCCAGTAGGAAGCAGGAACAGTTGGGAAGGCTGTTTCTGCCTGTCGCCTAGGGTGGGACATCCAGGGATAGCGGGAATGTGGCCCCTGTGCCCTACTTTGCAGTACGTGCATGTGCCTGCCTCTGGAGGTGGGGGGCATGTTGACCTCACCTGGACACAGTTGTATTTTCCCGCTCTCATGTGTCTGTCATCCTGTCCTGCCTCCCCAGGTCTCCACCATTTCCTAGAAAAGAGGAGAAAATGGCCCAGTGGCAGGTGAGTTGATCTTCATCTGTGCCATGTATGCTATGTCTTAGTTATGGTTTCTGTTGCTGTGAAGAGACACCATGACCTTGGCAACTCTTTAAAGGAAAACATTTAATTGTGGTGACTTGCAGTTCAGAGCTTTAGTCCATTATCATGGTGGTGGCATGCAGGCAGCCATTGTTTAAGGATAAAGTGTGAGGGGAACCTTGAGTGGGGACCTTGGAGGGTTCCATGCTGGATGAGGTTGTCCAAGGCGGAGGGAGAAACATGCCAGGTAGACAGAGCTTAGAATTTTATTACAAAGGGGTGGAGGGGGTGGAGGAAAAAGACAAAGAGAGGACGGAAGAGAAGAGGACGGGAAAGTCCTGTCTGCCTGAGGGGAACAGCAGGAAGAGCGTGAGTGGGCGGGGTCTGTCTTTTAAAGGAGTCCTTTGTACCTGTGTGCAGACTATGCAGTCGTGGAACCCGGGGCTGACCAGGGTGCTGCCTGAATGCGTTCTGCCAGGTGACGGGGGCAGGCCAGCGGAATGCCTGAGTCCTTACAGCCATGGTTCTGGGAAGGGGCTGAGAGTTCTACATCTTGATCCTCAGGCAACAGGAGACTGTGTGCTTTCTGGTGTTCCTGCTTAGTGAAACCAAAGCTGGCTCTCACAGTATTCCATAGTGGAATTTTGGTCCCCCACAGGCATCGAAGAAACTCGTTATAGAGATTGCTTTCAGTTTAGCAAGACTAGCCATTTGGGCAAGAAACTGCTCTTGCCTAGGCTGTTTGACTGTAAGCTGTATAAACTGGACATGCAGGACCCTCAGGAAAGTGACAGCTGAACTTGAAAAAACCAGATGGGAAAGTTGTAAGCATTTCAACAGCTCATATGGGATGGACAGAGATGGATTCTGGCGCTCGGGAGCCAAAGAATACTGAGTGTTAGAGCTCAGACGGAAAGGTATTCTGGCACTAGGGAGCCAAGGAATACCACAGGTCACAGTAGCATAGCAGTTTACAGCCTTGCTTCAGGGAAAGGCTTCCCCAGTGTATCAGCTCTACTCATGCAGGAGAGAGCTTCCATGGCAAAGTTGTTACAGTTGGGCTCCAGTCCTGCAGAGAGCAGCGTGTAACAACTTTGCTTAGCCAGGGGAAGGTTTCCCTGGGGAAAAGTATTACAGCCCTGCCCTGCTCTGCTCTGCCCAGGGTGGTCTCTGCTCTAATGAAAGAAGGTCTCACCCAAACCTCATTCAAAAGATTTATTGAGAGGGAGGAATCCAGGAGAGTGGCTGCCAGCCACTGAACAGCCACAAGCTGGACAGGCACAGGGTTTATATAGGGCTTCTTAGGGGCAAAGTTTTTTCCAGGGTGGGGATTCCAGGTCAGATTTCATTCCCTGAGCTTAGGATGGCTAGATCTCCTGCTCAGGGATTGTTTAGTTTTGGTTTAGGGTCAGATTTGGCTCTGGTTTCAGGGCCAAAGTACGTTTCTTTCACTGGTCCTTTTTAGCCTTTTGGCTCTAGTTTTAGGACCATGGTGTATGTCTATTACTGCCTCTGATTCCAGGGCCAAAATGTGTTTCTTTGGCTCTGCTCAGTGTGTGTTTCTTTGGCTGGCCCCTTCCTCCTACAACAGTCCTGAAGGGTTCCTGCTTCATGCAAGAGTCTGCCAGACATTCTAAATGACACAGAAAAATAACTGACAAACTGCCAATACAGGTGAGAAGTCTGCCAGACACACTGGGCCTGTAGGCTGAAGATGGATGCTCCAACATTAGAGAGGAACTTTAGGTAATTGTTTAGGCAGTGAGATGTCTCTGTCAATTCTAGAGTTTACTTATTATTTTTCTGTGGTCTTTGTTGGAGTTGAAGACAGATAGTTATGGTTTTCCTTAGTTATAGTAAAAGGTAAGTTACATATAAGACTTTAAACTCACAAAGACAGGATAGATGATAGAATGTTTTCTTTAAATTTTGCCAAATGTTAATGGACTAAATATATATGTTTCTCTTATTAGTTGATGACTAAAACACTGTTTGGCCAATAGAGGCAGGAAGATAGGTAGAACTAGGAGGCCATGAGAATTATGGGAAAGGTAGAGAGAGAGACAACTCGAAGAGATGCCATGTAGCCACCAACAGAGAACCTGGTCTGGACATTCTCTGGTAAGCCCAGACCACATGGAAATACATAGATGAATAGAAATGTGTTAATAGTTAAGACAGACCTAGCCAGTAAGAAGCCCTAGCCATCGGCCAATAGTTTCATAGTTAATATAGCATCCGTGTGTTCATTTGGGGCTGAATCTGTAGAACCTGGTGGGACAGAAAACTCCAGCAATAGCCGCTAAGTTCTCTCATCACAGTTTCTGACACTCTGGGCAGAGAGAAAGAGGGAGAGGACAGAGAGGGTTTTCACCATTTATGCCTTGGGTTAATTGAATGTAAAAGTCAGTTTCCATCCATCCCCTCATTCACAGGCCTGAAGGGCTCAGTGGGGCAGGATTCTTGACGCTGTTCCATGAGGATGAGGGATCCATGTTCACGCAGGACATTTAATGTTCTGAGGCCTTTGCTTTCTGGGTCAAACAGCCAGCTTTGTTTAGTGGAAACTCAGAGTGAAAAACAAAAACAGAGAGCAGACCAGATCAGGGCAGGGCAGAGGAGAGCAGGGCAGAGGAGAGCGGGGCTGATGTTTCCACCCATAACCCAGACAAGATGCTCGGAGACTGGTGTGGAGGAGGCGCAGGCTCGAGCAGTCTGCAGTGTCGGCATCTGACATCTCTGTAGCAAGCCAGATATCAAAGCAGTGCAAAATGTTCACAGTGTGAAAGGAAGTGAAAAGAAATCCTGTCTGCTCAGTGACATTAGACAAGAGGAAATAGTGATGGTGACCAAGGGCCAGTGAGGTGGCTCAGTGGTGAGGGAGCTTTCTGTCATCTGACCCCCACACATGCACCATAGCATGTGGTGAGCTCCAGATTGAGTGAGAATACACTGTCTTACAGAGCTGGGAGAAAGGGGGCGAGGAGGTGGCTCAGCAGGTAAGAATTCTTGCACACAATCCTGATGACCTGAGTTCAGTCCTTGGAGTCCTGTGAAAAGCCAGATGTGGTGTGTCCGTACCCCGCTATGCAGGGAGCAGGAGAAGCAGCAGGGAGCTGGCAGCCTGGCCGCCTGGAATACATAGTATGACAGAATCAGCAAGAGAAACTGTAGCCTGCTCGGGGCTTCTGCAAGCTTGAAGGCCAGGATCAACTCACGAAAGACTTCCACATACGTGCCCTGTCACGTGTACAGCTACAGACATACGCACATGCACACTCACAGACTCACGTGTATGTGCCTTCATGTGCATGCACACATGTGCACCCACGCACACACACACAGACACACATGCATGCACAGACACACGCACACACACACACACAAATACAAGGGCTCCTTTGCAGCCCTCACGGTGGGTGGATCCAGCAGACAGAAGGCTGGCAGAGGTAGGTACTTCCACCTGAGAGCCTCTGAATCCCACATAGACTCTCCCTTCACGTCTCAGGACCACCTCTTCTATAATCATAGCCCACATGTGTTTGCTGTCACAGGAGATGGTGACATTCAAGGATGTGGCCGTGGTCTTCAGCAAGGAGGAGTTGGTCCTGCTGGACGCCGCTCAGAGGAAGCTGTACCGAGACGTGATGCTGGACACCTTCAGGACGCTGCTCTCAGTGGGTGAGGATGGGGTCCGGGTTTCCCCGAGGACGGACTGGGACCAGCCCTGTGGGAGCCCCGGAACTCCTGGAGTTATGCCCTGGGCTTGGTTGTCTAACTGGAAGCACTGGAGGATTCTCATGGCTCCGTCCCTCTGTGTTTTGAGCTGTATATGAGAGTCCTGCTTGGTTTTGTCAACTTGACACAAGCTGGAGTCATCGGGGAAGAGGAACCTCACTTGAGAAAACCGTTCCATCAGGGTGACCTGGGGCGAGTCTGTGTGCCATTTTCTTGATTAATTATGGATGTGGGTGTGCCCCAGGCCTCTGTGTGTATTGTTGGCCTTGCCAGGTGGCTCTGAGTTGTGTGAGGAGCAAGCCAGTAAGCAGCGCCCCTCCATAGAGCCCAGGCTAGACTGTTCCCAAACTTACTGTATAGATGAGGGTGGCCTTGAACCTCTGGTCTGCCTGTCTCTTCCTCCCAGGTACACCTATGACAGACATACACCTCCATACCCAGCTCTTTTATGTAGTTTTGACAAAGTAGACATGATCAAACTTTTGCTTTTTTGTTTTTTTCACACAGCACATGAGCCCTTCAAACCAGGTCTGATAGCCCAGCTGGAGAATGAAGAGAAGCTTTGCATGGTGGAAGCCCAAGCAGGTGGGAACGATGCTTCTGGGTCAGCGGGTGGGAGTACTTTCTAGAACACAGGGCAGGGTGTGTCATTTCTCCCCTTAACTCTCTGCTGGTCCCCACTTGATAAACAGTATAGCAGATTTTACAGAGCTTAGAGCAGGACTGGTGAGACATCTCCATGAGTTAGGGTGCTTGTCACCAAGCTGGGACCCCAGTTCCATCTCTAGAACCCACAGGGTGGAAGGAGGGAGAAAATGACTCCCCCAGGTTGTCCTCTGACCTCCACAGTCATGCCAGGGTGGCTTGACCACACACACAGAGACCACACACACACACACACACACAGAGAGAGAGACCACACACACACACACACACACACACACACACACACACAGAGAGAGATAGAGAGACACATACACACACACACAGAGACAGACCACACACACACACACACACACACACACATTCTAAAAGTAACTTGCCTCTGCAATTCTCAAGCATCTGGGCCCAGATGTCATGTTTCCTCTGAAGGCTTCCTTTTTATGTTTCCACCAGGGCTGAACCAGACCATACACACACACACATACACACATACATATTCATGCTCACAGAAGACAAAATACCTTTTTCCACTTTGGGAATATCCCCCTTTTCTTTTCTCCATTGGATCACCCAACAATCTATGATAAAGGCACAATGACATGCTTAGAATTCACAAGACTTTTGAATGGGGCCATATTTGATATCTAGATTTTGTTAGGAAAAACCCATGTCTCTGTGAGTTGGAGGCCAGCCTGCTCTACCGACCAAATTCCAAGACAGCTATGGCTATTACAAACAGGAACCCTGTGTCAAAAAACAAAAAACAAAAACAAAGAAGAAACCTGTAATTTTTTATTTTTTTTTTTTTTCTGGAGACAGGGCTTCTCTGTGTATCCCTGGCTGTCCTGTAAAATAGGCTGCCCTGGGGCTGGAGAGATGGCTCAGAGGTTAAGAGCACTGACTGCTCTTTCAGAGGTCCTGAGTTCAATTCCCAGCAACCACATGGTGGCTCACAACCATCTGTGATGAGATATGGTGCCCTCTTCTGGTATGTGGATATACACAGAAGCAGAATGTTGTATACATAATAAATAAATAAAATCTTTAAAAAAAAAAAAAGAGGCTGACAGCCACCTCTCCAGAGACCCCCCTGCCTCTGCCTCTGAATGCTGTGATTAAAGGTATCCACCCCCCCCACTATCTGGCAGAAAATCCAGACCTTAAGGTACCCAGAGAGCTGTGTTTTTATGGCTTCTGTGTATCAGGTGTTTTGTAAGTACCCAGAGAACAGCGGGACACGCCAGTCTCCTGCTGTGAGCCAAGTGCTCAATTCCAAAGTCTCAGGAAGGTGCTCACTTGTGCATTTCTCTGGATTCTCCTCCTCCCAGGAAGCAAGGGTGGACATGCTGTGGAATCACACTCCTGTTGTCCCAAAGCAGTCTCCTCATGTCAGACCTGGCCAGAAGGTGCAGGCGTGTTACCCGGAGGTCAGGGTTCCTTGAAAAGATGTCCAGAGAGGAACACGGAGTCTCAGAACCAAGGAGATTGCCCCTGCCTGGTGTGTGCAGGCATGCCGGTTCAGATTTCTGAAGATGGGAACTATGTGTTGCCTCCTGTAGATGATGACTCTGCCTCTATGAGAAATCAAGGGTTTCTGTCGCTGAGAGCCAAGCAGTCCTGGTGGGAGTCTTATCTCCGAGGCTCATGTGATTGCCAGTGGGAAGGTCAGCAAATGTCCAGAAGGAGTCATTTCTGTAGGTGGGATGGCATCAGTTGTTTCTCCTGCCACAGGGACAATGAGGGGTTGCACAGAAAGGAGGAAGGCTCTAGTTTCCATGACAACAGAGAAGAGACCATGAAGGTATCATCACTTAAGCAGGACTTGGTTAAATTAGGGCCTGAGCCCTGCCCATGTACTGAGGATAGAAAAGCCTGGGGCCTTGGTGACAGTGAGGACCACAGCTCTCACACACATCAGCAGTTCTCCTCAAGAGGAAAGCCCTGCACACACAGTCCACGTGCTAAGGGCTGTCATGAGGGGTCAGCTCTTCACAGTCATCACAGTGTGGAGACGGGAGATGAAGGTGCTGCTGAGAGCCCTCCTCTGTGTTCCCCTCAGAGGGTGTGTACAGAGCAAGCGCTGGGCCGGGCTAGTGAGAATGTCCATCACGGCTCCCCTCTGAACATCTGTGGGTGTGCCCACCCAGGCAGCGCCTCCCAGCAGTGCAGCATCCCTGAGGAAACTTTGGGTTGTTGTTTACACTGTAATAGTAATTTTAGGGCCCACACTAGGGAAGAGCCCAGCAAATATGAGGAGAATAGGAATGTGTCTAATCAGAGTTTGTATCTCCAAGTGAATGAGATCATCCGTGCTGAGGAGAAACTATATCCAGGTGTGGCGGGCAGAAAAGATTTCACACACTGTTCCCAGTTTGACCCTCGTCACCGAGTTCCTGTGGAAGAGACTCTCTATAACCCTGCATGTGGTAACCACTTCAGTTTGCCCCCACATTTCCAGGACTTCCCAACAGTGCATCCCAGGGAACAGCCGCATAAGCATCCATACGGTACCAGCTTCGGTCAAAAGTTGTGTGTTCAAGGCCATCAGCAACTTCTCATCAGAGAGAAACCTTTCAGTAAACAGGGTAGAAATGGATGTAACTGGAGTTCCCGGTCAAAAGATCATCAGAAACAGAAGCCACACAAATGCAGCACCTGTGGGAAAGGCTTCAGTCACAGATGGGTTCTTAACATCCACCAGAGAGTCCACACAGGAGAGAAGCCGTACAAGTGTGAGGAGTGTGGGAAGGTCTTCAGCCAGAGTGCCTACTTGCATGCCCACCAGAGAGTCCACACCGGGGAGAAGCCATACAAGTGTGAGGAGTGTGGGAAGTGCTTCAGTCGGAGTTTCTACCTGCAAGGCCACCAGAGAGTTCACACTGGGGAGAAACCATACAAATGTGAGGAGTGTGGGAAGGAATTCAGTCGAAATTCCTACCTGCAAGACCACCAGAGAGTCCACACCGGGGAGAAGCCATACAAGTGTGAGGTGTGTGGGAAGGGCTTCAGTCGGAGTTCAAACCTTCAAGGCCACCTGAGAGTTCACACTGGAGAGAAACCATACAAGTGTGAGGAGTGTGGGAAGGGCTTCAGATGGAACTCTAATCTTCAAATTCATCAGCGGGTTCACACAGAAGAAAAATCCTATAAATGTGGACAATGTGGCAAAGGCTTCAGCAAGGCCTCAACTCTTCTGGCCCATGAGAGAGTCCACATGGGAGAGAAGCCTTACCAGTGTGTTGAGTGTGGGAAAGCCTACATTAGGTCTTCCAGTCTCCAGATCCATTACAGAGTCCACACTGGGGAGAAGCCGTATAAATGTGAGGTGTGTGGGAAAGGCTTCAGCCAGCGGTCACATCTTCAAGCTCATCAGAGAGTCCACACGGGAGAGAAGCCCTACACGTGTGATGCGTGCGGGAAGGGCTTCAGTAGGAACTCAGGCCTTCTGATCCATCAGAGAGTCCATAGCAGTGATAAGTTCTTCAGGAGGGAAGAGTGCAGGAGTGGGCGTCCTTCTGAGAACCTGTGCAGAAATGAAGGCCTGTCAAATGCTGTTGTGTTTTGTCAATGAAAATGTGTTTTTTATCTCCCATGAATGCCAGTGCTGGTTGGGAAACAACACAGAGTAAAGCTCTACCAAGGGGTTTCCAAGATCTCAACAATTCGCGTGTCAGCGGGAATTGACAAAAGTATGATTGTAAGCAGAAGTTTCCTCGCTCGGAGCTTCTCAGTCCCAAATACTGGGCAGGTGCTTCCCAAATTACCACCTGGAGTCTTCCTATTGCTTACAAACACTTGTAATGGCTCAGGCTTGTTACAAGCTAGATTTACATTTTAAGTGAACCCATATTCCTTATTTACCCTCTGCCAGGTGGTGGTTCCTTTTTTCAGTATATTGCACCCATCTTGGTTTCTCCCCATCTGGCTTGTGTCTTCGGAATCTGCCCCTCTCCTTCCCAGGATCCTTAGTTTCATCACCCTGCCTATACTTCATGCCTGGCTACTGGCCAATCAGCATTGTATTAAGCCGGTTGGGATGAGAAAGATTATTCCACAGCATTCGTCCCTTTTTGTCTAATTATAAAGGAAGGGTTGATGATACAGAATTGACTTTATTACTCTTTCAGTTACAAGAAATAATCATTAATAGGAATCATCCCTTATATAACATATTTACCACACACAGCATAAGGTAATGATGGAATTGATTAACTATTGCTAGGAAATGTGCTAGAAGCCTCAGAATTTCATAGAAAGCACCATGCCAGTAGCAATTATTTGAAAAAGATTTTCCATCACTTGGCAGCAAGCCAAGGAAATTATAAGGAAATGCCCAGCTTGTTTTTGACATAGCCAAACTCCATTCCTGCAGGAAGTAACTCATAAGTTACTCAAAGAAATGACATTTGGTTGATGAATTTGTTTCATTTATCAGAATTTGGAAAATTAATATGTTCATAGGTACATACATACCATAGATACTTATTCAGTATTTCAGTGAGCAACTGCTTCGAGTTCTAAGATGGTGATTCTGTTAGAAGTCATGGCCATCATGGGTGTACTTGTATGAATTAAGACTGACAGTGCTTTAGCATATGTTTCTAGTAAAATGAAACGGTTTTCTGCATATCATAATATAAAGGTACTGAAATAAATCAGCCTGTATATTTAAAGATGTGTTGACCCCCAGAATGGAAACCAGGACATGTGTTATGTTGGGGAAGATGTTTTGCTTTTGTTTCTACAAGAAAAGAAAAGCTATGGATACCATCAAAATTGGTAAAGATTAGATTTGAACAGGAGAGACCTCTTAAAGTTGAAGAGATGATAGTTCATCAAACAGTGTGACCAGTCAATCTAAACGAGTTTATAAGACTAACAGATGCTTTTCATTTGATCAGATGTAACTTGACAAAAATGGAACCTCCCCCAAAGCCAGGGTTGGGGAATGGTTTTGTTTTTTGTTTTCAAGGGAATGAAGGCATCCAGCTAAGGAATCTGAAGACCACTTGACAGATGAGACATCCAAAGAAAAAGGACAAATCGTCCAGAAAAATGTCCCAAGAAAGAGTAAATTGGCCTATTGGTATATCACATTTCCAACAGGATAAAATTTTATAAATTTGCCCAAAGTTTCTGCTGTTCTCCATAGACATATAATGCAGTGGTCTTTTTGTGGTCCTGATTCAATTAGAGATCAAAGCTGGCATTGGAGTTGGAGTGTGGTTCTCTCCTCTAAACCCAAGCATGCTTGATAAAGTAAAATCCAAAATCTCTGTCTCGTGTCAAGAGAGCCGCCTGATATGGGGCAGAAGAAAAAAACAAAAGTTAAGGGACTATTGCATTGCCACTAATCTCATAATCCTTTGATTTTATTTTGACATTTAAAATGTTTTCTTAAGGTATAAATGTCTCCAATTAATAAGATTACTATATGTGTATTTTAAACTTTGTCATTATATAAATGTTCATTTAGAGTACTAACTCTAGAAAAATGCTTATCTAGCTTCCTGTATATGATTTAGGGTTAGAATCTATCAGGTAACTAGGAGTTAAGTTTTTTGTATTCTGGATGTATATAACAAATTGTGGTCCCTTTTCCTTTTTGAGATCTGCTGCATATGACTTTTAAAATAATTGTGTAAGTTTTCTGCACTGAGCCAATACCATCCCCAACAGCAACCTTTAAAGTCAACAGAAGGAGGCTGTAGTGATAGCACTAGCCTGGCAAACAGCACCCAAAGACAGGCCGGGAACTACAAAGTGCTCAGGACAATTCCAAGGTGGCTTGTTGAGATGATCCAGCCTCACAGACTACTCCAGCCAGGACTTGAGACGAGCCCTGCACTTTCCCACTATGCAGAGACTGGACAACAAATGATACAGTTAGCTCTCCCAGCACTTGATAATTTTCCCATTTTTTCAGAGTCCCTGAAAGACGCTATTGCCTCGAGACAGCAGGAAGTAACTTTCTGAACACAATGCCTGCATTCCCAAGAGGTGGAGGCCTGTTTGTGGATATTTGTCATTGTTTAAGGTGGTTGCTTACTACTTAGTAATGGTAACGGTCAATAAAAAAGCTGAACAAAGGAGATTAGATTCAGGGTTCTTGTTCTAAAAGAGCAAAGGGGGGATATAGAAATGATAGGATAAAGGGAAGATTATTGAATCTACCCTGAAAAAAAGGGGGGGGAGAAAAAAGCTATGATAGGATAATAGGGGAGATTATTAAATCTACTTTGAAGCCAAAAAAGCAACTACTAGTCTTAAATATTTCACACTGATATGGATTTTTTTAAATACTGATAAAAATTTGAGGTTATTTTTGGTAGAACAGACTGAACATTCATTTCTACTCTTGTCAAGGTATTGTACTTATACTGCTCATTTAACAATGTAATGCAAATTTCTAGATCTTGAAAGTTATTATTACAAACTAGAATAGTAAAGAAATGTGGGTAAATAGTCATGTATTACAATTGAACTTGTAGTCATGTTAGGTATGCTTTCAAGGTCAAACATATTTTAGATAAGTGGTCTTCAAACACTCCAGATATCTTCAGAATGTGGCATTTAGGATGTTTTCATATCATAGGCTCTTTTCCTTTTTTTTTTTTATGACAAGACATGACTGCTCCTGGCAGCATTAATCTACCCGAAAGAAGATGATGGGTAGTGAAGAGACGCCATATGGAGTTTACTTTCTTTGTGGCAAAAGTTAGCCACTGGGCAAGAAACTGCCCTTGCCTCAGATGCTCACACTATGCTGTCCAAATTGGACAAGGAAGGACAGTTCTTCAGAATCTCCTGCTTCACAGAAATGTCTGTCAGATATGCTACACCTGGGGGCTGAAGATAGGTGTGCCAACATTACAGAGGAACCTTGGATGACTGTCCAGGCTGCTAGCTATTTCTGCAATTTTCTTGGGAGTCTTGCGTGCACTTAGCACTTACTCAGGTAATATTTTCTTCAAGGATCTCTGATGGAGTTGAAGAATAGATAGTTCTAGTTTTCCTTGTTAACACATTCAGAAAAGAAACTCACAAAAAGATAGTTTTGGGTTGTTAATACAAGTTAGGATAGAAGGTCAATTGGATACGATCCTTTGGGCTCACCATGGTAGAATAGATAATGGAGTGTTTTCTCTGAATTTGTCCAATGCAAATGGACTGGACATTGTTAATGTAATTCTTGTCTGTATACATTGTATATAGTTTTTATTACACTTATTGTATATAGTTTTTCTATATTAGATATAACCTTTTTATTTAGACAAAAATGGGGACGTGTGATATTTTGTGTTCTGACAAATAAAGCTTGCTTGGAGGTCTGTACAGACAGGACACAAAGAGTGTTAAGACTGCGTGGAGAGAGGAGGTAATGAGGAGGGAAAGACAGTACCTCAGCCCTTTCAGGCTGAGGATTAGGAGAGATAAGCAGTCTCTGGTGACTGCTGCTCTGCTGCTCTGATCTTCCTGTTTTTATTGACAAGACTAATTAGGATCATGCTTCACAGGGCTGGCAGTCAGAGAGAATAAATAGAAGAAATCTGGGAAGAGAGGAAGGAAAAAGAAAAGATACCAGTCACCAAGCTAGATATTCAGACGTGTAGTTAAGAAGGAAAGAAAAAAATACACAGAAATAGGGGTAAGGCAAAAGGCATACAGGATAAGTTAAGAAAAGATGGCAAGAAACAAGCCAAGCCTATGCCAGGCATTTATAAGTAATAACACTCCGTGTGTGTCTATTTTGGAGCTGGGTGGTGTGGCCACAAAGAGTAAAATCAACCAACTGCAAGCACCATGTCAGATGTCTCACAATTGTAAGTCCTTTATGGGGCCATGGTGCCCTGCTCGGGCTTCCTTCGGCTCTACACTCACATGGTGAATGTACATAAACTCGGAATCACTATTTAAAATTAGTTTTTTTTTTGTTTTGTTTTTTGTAAAACCTGGTTATCGCCTCCTCCTTTCTGTATGTCAAGTTCCTCCTCTCTCTATACAATAGCTGATTAGACTGAGTGGATGGTCAGGTTGGAAAGGTTCCCTTTTGCAAGGTCACGAAGGGGTGAAGGGTGGAGCGCTGAAGGTGAATAGCAGTCGGGAGAAGTGACTCAGACGAGAATCCCCAAACTCAGGTGACCCTGCAAATGATAACAAGGGAGCCCGCGGGCTGCAAGGACTTCCCTGCAGATGCCAGGAAGTGCAGTGGCCAAGGCCCAAGCTGCCCTGACGGGCTCCAGAAAGGCGTCTTTAACACACGGTCTTCCATAGAAAGGTGGGGAAGTTCCAGACCTAGAAATTGTGACATTGAATCGAGTTTTCTTATGGAAGCAAATCCGCTCTGAAAAAACAAGGAGGAACGCTGAGACTTCTGGGAAATGTAGTTCACCACACTCCCATCCCGGATTCTAGGATAACTTCCGCCGCGCAGGCCGCTCAGAGGGCCGCCCTACTGGGGTCGGGAATTTTGGGAAACGCAGTCCGGGAATCCACGATAGTCACGGATAACCTCTGGAGTCGTCTCTGCGTCGCCCCCGCTCCCCCGAGGCCTTCTGGGAAGTGTAGTCCAGGCGGGCCGTGCGGGAAGAGTCACTTCCGCCCCAGGTGCGCGAGGCCGCGCGCGGCCCGCGTCTCTCGGAAAGGTGAGCCGTCCCTCCGCTGTCCCCTCCCGCGAATGCCGGATGCTGTTCTTTTCGGGTGGCCCCGGGCGGTGGT